AATTTCCAAAGTACGTGTTGATGTTCTCAGAGAGTTATTGGTTCCTGTTGGAGCCTAATATGTAAGATGCCACAGAGATTACTGATGAGGAGACCCAGCTGTTTGACCAGATGGAGGATTTTTCTGATAACTGACATGAGTTGAATATTCAGAATTAGCCAATAGAGGAGGCAATAAAGATAGGAAATGGGTGATCTCAGATGATTTGCAAGTGTTATGCTGTAGCTGAGTCACGTGTTGAGAAAGCTTGGGTGGCTAACTTCTTTTACTGTACTCTGATATTTGTGTCAAGAGGCCGTGTCAATGTCAGCAATGATTAATTTCTTAAAATTGCAACTCAGAAATGCAAATTAAAACTACACTGAGAAACCACCTAACTCTAGTCTGGCTGACCATAATCAATAACAAAAAAGCAGCAGATGCTGGAGAGGATGTGGGGAAAGGGAACACTTCTACACTGTTGGTGGGAGTGTAAGCTCGTACAACCTCTGTGAAAAAGTGGCGTTTCCTAAAAGATTTAAAAATCGACCTTCCGTATGACCCCACACTCCCCCTACTGGGAATATACCCAGAGGAACTCAAATCACTCTGAAAAAGATGCCTACACATGTATGTTTATTGCAGCATTGTTCACAATGGCAAAAACATGGAACCAACCGTGCTGCCCATCAAAAGAGGGCTGGTTAAAAAATGTGGTACGTATACACAATGGAATATTATGCAGCCATAAAGAAGGACAGAATTATGAACTTCACAGCAACTTGGATGGACTTAGAGTCTATAATACTGAGCGATCTATCACAGAAACAAAGAACTGAATATCACATTTTCTCACACATAAGCAGACCTTGAACAATTATCGTAATACTATAGAAAAGAATTGGCAGTAGCAGAAAACTGCTGGGAGGCGGGATTGGCAATAGTGGGAATCTGCCTGGGAAAGGAGGGCACACCTCATCAACAAGGGAACCTGCATAATGAACATTTGTATACCCAACCCTGAATTGCACCTCTTTAAAATAAAAAAATTTTAAAAAATAAGATAAGATAAAATTGCAGTTTAATTTTAAGTGGTGGGAGCAATCAGCTATTTAGTGAATTTTGTTTTGATTCGTCTAATGTATTGCCTTGTAAAAACTTTTATTCAGGCATAGTTATGAATTATTGACAATTTGTATTTTTTATAAAGATACAGTTCAGTATCATTACTACTACACAAATATTGAAAGGCAAAAGAGAAAATATCAAAGTGGCATATCATAAAATTTTTCTGAACCAGAAATTTTTTTTTTAATAAAGCGTGGAATATAGAGAGTTTATTGAGTGTAGGTTTCTCTTTTCATAAAAAAGTTATCTTAAGAGGCAATGATCTGGTATTTCATTATAGGCACCAAAAACTAAGACATGAAGCTGCATCTGTGTTCCCTGTTAAAAGATTTTAGTGATATTTCGTAGTGGCTATTTCTGTCAAGGGCACCAAAGCAGAGACCTTTTCAAGTTTTTATTTTGGAACATATTAAGCTTAAACAAATATAGAGAAGAGCGTAATTAATGTCCATCACTCAGCTTCAACAATTATGGATAGTCTGTCATTCTTGTTTCATATATTCTACTTCCCAAATTCTGTTTATTTTACTTGACTGTTTTAAGGAAGATTCCAGATATCATATGATTTTGCCTGTACATACTTCAGTATTTATTTCTATGTGATAAAGACTTTTTTTTAGTTTAAAGAATACCCTTTATTAGGCTAAAGAAAGCCTTTTAAAAAAATTTTAAAGATGTGGGGTACAATTCAGGGTTAGGCATACGAACGTTCATTATGCAGTTACCTTTGTTGATGTCTTTTTAAAAAAAGAAATGAGTACTATGATCATTCTGCTGTCTACTGCTGCTGTCATTCACCCATCTAATATTCCGTCCATATTCACATTTTCCTCAGAGACACACGGTCGTCTTTTGACAGTTGGTTTGTTTGAACCAGGATCACGAGAGGTTCACACTGCATTTGCTTCATTGCTCTTTGGTCTATCTTAATGCAACGGCAGTTCCATCCCCACCCTATATCTGCTTGCAATTTATTTGTCCTGTAGAACATTCCACATTCAGAATGCATCCGTTTCCTTCCTTGAAGTATTATTTAATTTCCTTTTTTTCTCAAGCATTTTATGCAAAATACAAGGGGGGGACCCCAAGGACCCAAGAATTATCTTTTGGAGGGCAGGGCTAGGTAAGTGTTCTAGAAACCCACAGGTGTCAGTGCACCAGGTAGCATCATTGTGAGAGAAGATATGCAGAATAAACATTCCAAGTTGTGGCAAACAGATGACTTGTCTTCCACTGGGGCAATATATTGCCCACACCGTGTTGAGTGTTCTGCAATTTTTTTTTTTTTTTTTTTACCAAAAACGACACGAGCTTCTTGCCCCTCCTTCCCTGTTCACCCCATCTCATGCCAAGCTTCTTTTTTTGTTTTGTTTTGGTTTTGTTTCTCTGGATGAAAAAAATCTTCAAAAGGAAATGTTTTGTTGATATGGAAGAGGTGAAATAAAACATGGCAATGGCACTAAAAGACATCAACATTGAGAGTTCAAAAGCTGTTTTCAGCAGTGGAAAGAACGTTTTGATGGGTGTATTGCATGCAACAGAGAGTACTTTGAAGGTGACTTAAGTTCATACATGCCAGAATAAATAAACAATTTTTAATAAATGAATTCCTGGGGTTTATTTTAGCCCCACCCTGCCCTGCCACGTATTGGTTAGAGTTTTTATCAGCTTCATGACAAAATTTTTAAAGGCAAGAATGTGAGATATATACACCCATCCTTGTCTATCATATTGGATGTAATTGATGTCTGTGCATTTCTCTTTCAGTGATGTTAACATCAGCATGTTCAGATAGTGGCAGCCTGTCATTTCTACTAAACGGTCTTCATCAACATTTAACCTAGTGATTTTAACATCTACTGACAATCATTGCATGACTAAAGCATTTACTATTTTAAAAATTCTATTCTTTAAAAAAACATTTGTTAGCTGTGATTCTTCTATAAAGTAGAGCGGTCTTTCATCAACTGCAACAAAGTGCTGCATAACTATGTTTTGGTCAATGATAGGCTGTATGCAGGAGTCGGTCCCTTAGGATTAGAATACTGTATCTTTTCTATGTTTAGCTATGTTTTGAGACACAAATACTCACCATTGTGTTACAGTTACCTACCGTGTTCCACCTAGTAACATGCTGTATAGCTTGGTAGCCTAGGCGCAATAGTCTACACGGTACGGCCTTGCTGTGTAGTGGGTGGTGCCACCTAGGCGTGTGTAAGTTCGCTCTGTGGCGTTTGCACAATGATGACACGGCCTAATGATACCTCTGTCAGAACCTGTCTCTGTTATTATGCAAGGCACCACCGTGTTTGGTTGTCCCAAAACATAGTCCTTACAGAAAAGGCAGGATAAAATCTTGATTCCTTTTTAAATAACAATTCTCAGAAGAAGAGTGGCTCTTGTATACAACAGATAACCAATGATGTGTGTGTGTGTGTGTGTGTGTGTGTGTGTGTGTGTGTGTGTGTGAGATTAATATGAAAGTATAGAGTTTTAGATGGGCAATGCTTTGCAATATTTTCTTGTAGTTGTTGTCATGTTCACAGTAGTCTGTATAAGTACCATAAGAAGCCCCAGGCTCATCTGATATTTCCTGTCTGAAGCCTTAAATCAGCCATTTCTCTAACAAAGTCCTGATTTCTTTTAGTGGTAAATGGAATTTGGAGACCACAATTTGTGTATTGTTTGTGCCTTTAAGGTGTTCATTGTTCTTCTAGGTCATTTCAGTGAACAAAGACAGAAAACAGGTCGTTTTTAAGAAAAGATTAAATAAATTAATACTGACATCTCTAAATCAAAGTTTGCACATTTTTATTTAAATTAAAAAATTTTAATATATGTATCTCCTTTAGCCTTAACATTTTCTCATACTTTTAATTTGTATATTTAAATATTTGAATCATTCACAAATAATAGTACTAGCTATGCTACTCACAAAAAGACCAATGAATGTGGTTTAAAATAGTGTGTGTGTATATGTGTGTGTGTGTGTGTGTGTGTGTGTGTGTGTGTGTGCTGTTCTTACGGTATATGTCCCATTGGGAAGGTAATGATGAAATACTGACTTTAAATACCTAATCTATGTGCCTATAAGCCTTCTATTAAAAACAACAACAACAACCTTAACGTACCAACCATTTGGTTGGTACGATATATTTAGGTTTATTTTTCCCATCTATTCTCAGATTTTGGAGGTTGCTTTGCTTTTCTTTTGGTGTAACTTTTGAATTAATGCAAAACATTTTATAGTGCAAGTCAAAACTATGCAACAAGCACTGTATGTTGACAAAGAGTTTGCCTGCACATTTGTTATCCCTCCTTTTTCCTTCGCAACAGGTAACGATTTTTACTGGCCTTCAGGTTATTCTTCCGTTATCTCTTCTTCAGAATATTAGCAAACAGATGTGTTTGTATTTTTCTCACTTACACAAAAGAGAGCCTACACTCACTCTTCTGGACTTACTTCCCGTTGCATATTTTGGTAGTCTCGAGGTACACGTGTGCCAGGGGGTCGTGAAAGAGTGAGTGTCTATAAGAATTGTGCCGAGAATAGATTGGGAGCTGAGAAAGCAGAAGTATGCGTTTAACAACTTCTGTACAAAGCAGAAGTAATGACATCTCTTTTCCTGAGAACAAATACATTGTGAATTTAGCCTTGGTTTCTCCCATCTGTACTTGGTTCTTGCCTGTTTTATTGTTTGACACTGCTTCCAACTTTCAAGTTCGAACCACCATGGACGTCTGTGAAGATTTTGGAACCTAACATCATGACAACATGCAAAGTCCTCACAATAGAGGGCATTTTCGGTGTGAAAACACTACTATAATCATTAGCATTCTGTGGTCTGCGTAAGATAAAATAATGTCATCCAGGTAGTTGACAGGAGAGATGATAAAAGCCAATAAAAAGAGAATTGTTTATTAAAAAGATCTAATGTTACAAGAACAGTACACAGAACTATTATCTGACTGTGCCTTCCACATGGTATATACCTTATATATAGTATATATACAGATTGTATACAATATATTTAACGGCTTGACATGGGGTCCACAGTACCTTCATTTGGGTATGCAAAACATTTGCTTTCATGACATTTCTAATGATAGGGAATGTTGGTTTTTTCATAGTTCAATCGACATTATACAAAAATACAGTCTCTTCAGTAATTTAAGACTGTGTGGTTACTAACCCATCCAAGAAAAAGATCAATCAGCACTGCAGCTGGGAAATAACGTACCTTGATAAAGAATGCTGTTCTGCTTTCTACAAAGTAACAAATATGTAATACATACATACATAAACATTGAAAAGCTGTTTTTAAATAGGCTTATGATGCAAAATACATATTTTGAGAATGTTGAGTAAAAACATCTCATATCTCTGATTCTTGTAAGAATACACCAAACATTCTATGCGTAAATACTCCGTCAGATATGCACCATCCATCAGCTAATTAAAGATATCAGTTGACTTGAACTTGCCATATATTGACATTATATTTTACTGGACTTTGCTTTATAAGTATGTTAGGGATAAGTTGATTCTTAAAGTCCTTCTCTAAATCTAATATGTGACACCATGGAAAGTGAAGAAAATGGTCTGATTCATCAAACATGTAAAAATCATTTCTCATTTTTAAATAGGCTTTCTGCATGTTTTTCAGATGTACAATTTGTTCTTCCAAGTTGCACCAGCCTGGGAGAGCTCACGCTTTACCAGCTAAACAGTCAGCATCTCTGCATTTGCAAAGACCAGCCTCTCTCACTTCAAAGGAGGTATTCAAGAAAGACCACTTGGTCGTTATTATTCACAGGCTTAAATCTTTACCCTCTGTAGTATTTGCTACAGTAAGATGTTGACGGAGTCTTTTAATTCACTTCTTGCTTGTTTAGGAGTGTTAACATAATTTTTCCTAAAGAGAACGCATCACCAACAGAGAGAGCTTTACTGTGTGGCTGAAACGAATCTTTTAGGATGTTCAGGACAGAAACTTCAATCGCTTCCCTGATGGTATAAGGATTAAAATTTAGAGCCAGCAGTTTGAGCTCAATGTTGCTTCATTTTGCTTGTTATTAAAAAAGCAAATGGAGCCAATAGGTTTAGATTATACAAAAAAAGAAACTGCTTTTCCTTCTCATGTTAGCATCACCTATAAGACGATAGTTTCTCCAGGCCCTCTTCTGGCATATGACTTTGCGGTAACTTGCCTTCTAAGCGTCTTCTTGGGTGTAATGTCAACCCGGCACATTCTTCTGTTTGTTGGAGCTTCTTTAAGATGTCCTCAAGTAGAAAACTCTCATCTCACTTTCTAGCAATGGTCTGGGATTCCTCAGGTCATCCTGACTCCCCCAAATGTCAAAGGGGCCTCACCTCCCAACAGAACAGAGCATGGCATGACTGGCTAGGCTAGCTGAATCCCTGCACCGACGCCATGTTTCCAAGCTTAATTTAAACAAAAATAAATTTACCTGAGAGAGGTCCTCTTTATTTTGCTAGCTGGTATGATTTTATAAGTGGTATGTGATGCATGAAACTGTTTTTAAAGATCAGAATTTATTCATTATACTTGAACCCTTTTACTCCACAGACTGCATATAATTATTTGCACAACAAATTTTCATTGTCCTTAAAACCTCTGCAACAAGGGGAAAACCTTGGACCCAATTCAGCATCTGTTTTGGCAGTAGATAGAGAAATGAAAAAAAAACACTGTTCCTCATTCATTCTATTTTTAAATTAGTACCCGTGGCTGCATGTCTGCAGGTTTTTTGTGATCATAATTTTTTGGTGATATAAACGATGTTTTTTGTTATTAAAAATAAACATTTGTTGCTAGATAACATAGTACTTTATGAAAAACAATAACACTTACATTTATTTGGGCTCACTTTCTCTTTACCTTGCACGAATGTAAATGGCTTACTCCCTACCCTAATAACTTGCTCTAGGGGTTTGTATAGAATAGCATATTGATGAATCTTGCTATCACTTTGCAATCATATGATATTTCCCAAGAAACTTTTTGTGTTCTTCTCCTGTAATGGACTGCATAACTGAAGTATTTTTCATATCTCCTGCTGGTTTGGCAGTTGGAATAGTCAGCCGAAGGGAGAATGAAGAACACTGGACTCAGTGTTAAAGGAATTTTTCATTCTCAGTTTTGTATTTGTTTCTGAAACAGACCTGCTAAAGACCACTCACTTAACGAATGGATGGCACACACTCAGAGTCATCAGATATAAAATCAAATTCCAACATATTAAAAAAGTAAAGGATACATTTGACAGATATTACCTTTGCTTACAAAAATTCATTACATACAATCTGCATATTTTTATTGGACCAAGAACCGTCCTCTTCATTTACAAAAACCAAAGCGAAACCTGATGGATAAGTAAGATTCCCCCCAGCCTCCTGTATGTAAGTGCACCATGGGTAGTCCCAACTGTTTAAAGCTTGAGCTCATTTCAGGATCCTGGGTCTCCACTTCCACTACATGCTATTCACCGCTGCTATCGAGCTACGGTAAAGAGAAGCAGATGACATCAGCAGTTTTCACCAGGAGGTGGAAGGAATCACCAATGCCAAGAGCAACGCTACTGATGACCAAGACGTGGAGAGAGTGTGCAGAGTCGACTGAGCACTTGTGACTTTCCCACCTGTGGAAACAGAGAAGCATCACATGGAGGAAACGATTTGGGTTTTGCTTGAATTCGGCCAACGTCGTTTATGTGGGACAAATGGGTGCCACAGGGGTCCTGTTTTGTGTTCTCACGAACAGGCCCTGTCAGAAGTTCCCAAAGTTACAGAGGGCAGAGGTATACATGAGATACTGGGTTGAAAAGGCGATGTCATGTCTGACAAACACATCTAATCAGGAGATGGAGTGTAATTTTCACCAATGAAGCACTGATAGAAAACATCTCCAGTGCCGGTTGTGAAAAAGAAGAAAATTTCAACAGTGCGTAGCTCTGGACATGAAGCAAAATGAAGCAAAAGTTTGTGGCAACATGAATTCATAATTTACAGTCATGTGCTGAATAATGACATTTTGGTCAACCGGGGACTGCATCTGTGATGGTGGTTCCAAAAGATTATAATGGGGCTGAAAATTTTCAATTGCCTAGTGATGTAGCCGCTGCACTCACCTCTAAAGACTCAAAACAAACAGAGAAATTGGGTAATCCCAGAACCCCAACCTTGGCTTAGGCTGGCAGGACATTTCCATGAAGCAACTCTCACCAAGGAGAAACTTAGATTAAAATGCTGGAAATCAAGAAGATACTACAGCCATGGCAGCTGGCTTTCTCTCACAAGTGCCATCTCCTGGCTGAAGGTCAACAGTGCAACCCACTGATTGGATACAATTCCTTGGCATAGGGTAAGGTCTGATCCCAGACCCCAGTACTTTCCAAGCCACTCCAGCCACTCAGGATGCCATGAGCCAGTGCAGGTACCCAGCATAGGACTGCCAAAGAAGGCAATTGAGAGATTGACCACACCAAGGCTATATATCACCAAGGGAACCCTATAATGTCTACACCAGCCCCCTGCCAACTTCAAATAAGAAGAAATAATCTACCCGAATGAGAAGGAACCAGAAAAGAACTCTGACAATATGAAGAAACAGTTCTCCAACACACCCAACACAAACTCTTCAGCAACAAATCCTAACCAAAATGAAATTTTTGAAATGCCAAATGGAATTCAAAAGATTAATTATCAAATTGATCAATGAACTTTAGGAGAAAATAGAAAACCACAAAAACAAAAAACAAAAACAAAACTATTCAGGAGATGAATGAGAAATTCTCCAAAGAGATAGACACCTTAAAAAAAAGCTGAATTCTGAAAATTAAAGAATCATTTAGGAGAGTACAAAATACACTAAAAAACTTTAGTCTACTGGAAAAAGCAGAAGAAAGGATCTCAGAGCTGAAAGACAGGGCCTTTGAATTAATCTAATCAGATAAAAATAAAGGAAAAAGAATTAAGAGAATGGAACAAAGTTTCCAAGAAATGCGGTAGTACATAAAACTTCCAAGTCTAAGATTCATAGGTGTTCTTGAGGAAGAAGAGAAAGAAACAAGTTTGGAAAACCTTTTTGAGGGACTATTGGAGGAAAACTTCCCTGGTCTTACCAGTGATTTAAACATCCAGATACAAAAAGCCCAAAGAAACCCCCCAGAAGATTCATTGCAAAAAAAAATCATGCCCAAGGCATATAATCATCTGATTATGCAAAGTGAATGTGAAGAAAATAATTTTAAGAGCAGTGAGACAAAAGCACCTAATAACTTACAAAGTTAATCCTATCAGACTAGCAGCAGACTTCTCAGAAGAAAATTTACAAGCCAGAGGGATTGAGGGCCCATCTTCAATCTCTTCAAACAGAATAACAGTCAGCCAAGGATTTTGTATCCCACAAAACTAAGTTTCATAAATGAAGGAGAAATGAAGTATTTCCTAGACAAGCAGCACTGAGGGAATTAGTCACCACAAGACTGGCTGTACAAAAAATACTTAAAGGAATTCTAAATACTGAAGTAAAGTGTTGAAGTACACCAGCAGAAAAATGCTGGAAATCATAAAGTTCACAGGTCTTGTGAAACACCAACAAAATAGAGAAAATCAATCAATCAATCAATCAACGAGGTGACAACCAGTATGATTAACTGAATAGTATCTTACATATCATTATTAATTGAATGTAAATGGTCTCAATGCCTCACTAAAAAGATATAGACTGGCAAAATGGATGTCAAAGAATACAACTGTCTGCTGTTTTCAACGTACCCACTTGACTGACAAATGCTCCCATAGACTCAAAGTTAAGGAGGAGGAAAAAATATTGCATGCAAATGGAAACAAAAAACAGCAGGAGTAGTCATTCTCATGTCAGATAAAATAGACTTTAAGTTAACAACCATAAAAAAAGACATAGCTGGTTGTTACATAATGATAAAGGGATCAATCCCAGATGACATAACAAATTTAAATATATATACATCTAAAACTAGAGCCCCTAGCTTTATAAAACAAATTCTACCAGACCTAGAGAGGACATAGCCAGCAATACAATAATAGTGGGAGACTTCACACTCCACTGACAGAAATAGACAGATCATCAAGGCAGAAAGTCAACAAAAAAATCTTGTAGTCAAACTGAACTCAAAAGCAAATGGAACTAATCGACACCTACAGAACATTCCAACCCCAAATTACAGAACATACATTTTTTTCTCATCAGCACTTTGGACATTCTCCAAGACAGATCGTATAAGAGACCACAAATAAAATCTCAATAAATTCAAAAAAATCAAAATCATATCAAGCACTTTCTCAGACCTCAGTGGAATAAAACTAGAATTTAATTCCAAGAAGAACTCACAAAACCATGGAAGCTAAACAATCTGCTCTTGAATGATTCTTGGGTCAACAATTAAATCAAGATATAAATTTAAAAATTCCTTTAAAATTCCTTGGAATGAATGGCAACAATGAAATAAGTTATCAAAACCTTGGGGACACAGCCAAAGCTATGCTTAGAGTAAAATCTATAGTGCTTAGGGTTTACATGAATAAGATAGAAAGATTGCATATTGACAGCTTAACTTTGCACCTTAAGGAACTAGAAAAACATGAACAAACCAAACCTAAACAGAAGAAAATAAATAACAAAGATCAGATCAGAACTAAATGAAATTGAAATAAAAAACAAAGGGTCATTGAACCAAAAAGTTGGTTCTTTGAAAAAATAAACAAAAGTGATAGACCACTAGCTAGATTAATTTAAAAAATGAAGAGCGAGCCGGGCTGGGTGGCTCAGCCTGTAATCCCACACCTTTGGGAGGCTGAGGTGAGTGGATTGTCTGAGCCCACGGGTTCGAGACCCGCCTGGGCAGTGAGACCTCATCTCTACAATAAATCAAAAAATCAGCCGGGCGTGGTAGCGCATGCCTGTAATTCCGGCTACTTGGAAGGCTGAGGCGGAAGGATCGCCGGAGCCCAGCAGGTTGAGGCTGTGTGGCCAGGCAGGAGCGGCCACCGCACTCCAGTCTGGGAGACAGAGTGAGACTCCAGCAAAATAAAATAAAATAAAATAAAATAAAATATAAAATAAAATAAAATAAAATAAAATAAAATAAAATAAAATAAAATAAAATAAATAAAACGAAGAGCGAAGACTCAAATTAGAGCAATCAGAAATGAAAATTGAGACATAACAACTGATACGATGGAAATTCAAAGATCAACCAAGATTATAATGAACCTCTATGCAAACAAGCTAGACAATCTGGAGCAAATGGTTACATTCTTGGAAACTCGCAATCCCCCAACCTTGAATTGGGAAGAAATAGAAACGTGGTAGTGAGATTGAAAGAGTAATAAGAGCTGGGCTTGGTGGTTCAGCCTGTAATCCTGCACTTTGGGAGGCTGAGGTGAGTGGATTGCCTGAGCCTGCGGGTTTAAGACCCACCTGGGCAATTTGGTGAGACCTCATCTCTACAATAAATTAAAAAATTAGCCGTGCGTGGTAGCGCGCGCCTGTAGTTCCAACTATTTGGAAGGCTGAGGTGGAAGGATCGCTGGAGCCCAGCAGGTCAAGGCTGCAGTGGCCGGGAGCAGCCACTGCACTCCAGTCTGGGTGACAGAGTGAGACTCCAACTCAAAAAAAAAAAAAAGAAAGAATAATAAGTCTCCCAATAAAAAAAGTCCAGGACCTGATGCACTCCCAGCTGAATTCTACCAGACCTTCAAAGAAGAGCTGTTACCAATTTTATTGAAGCTATTCCACAAGATTGAAGAGGAGAGAATCCTCCCTAACTCATTCTACAAGGCCAGTATCACTCTGATGCCAAAGCCAGGAAAAGACACAACAAGAAAATAAAGCTACAGAACAATATCCCTTATGAGAATAGATGCAAAAATCCCCAACAAAATATTAGCAAACTGAATTAAATAGCATAAAAAAATAATTCCATGACCAAGTGGGTTTTATCCCAGGAACGCAAGGGTGGTTCAACATCCACAAGTCAATAAATATGATCTACTACATAGGCATAATTAACAACAAAAATCATATGATCATTTCAGTTGATGCAGAAAAAGCATTTGATAAAAATACAACATTGCTTCATGGTAAAAAATCTTCAGCAAAATAGGCATAGAGGGAACATTCCTCAAAACAATAAAAGACATATATAACAAACACACAACCAATGTCATTCCAACTTGAAAAAAGTTCAACACATTCCCCCTCAGAACTGGGACAAGGCAAAGATGCCCAATTTCACCACTACAATTCAATATGTTATTAGAAGTCCTAGCCAGAGCAATTAGACAAGAAAAAAAATTGCATATCCAGATTGGAAAAGAAGAATCAAACTATCTCTGTATGTTGATGATATGATCTTATACCTGGAGAATCCTAAAGACTCCTTGAAAAGACTTCTGGACCTGATAAATGAGTTCAGTAAATCTTCAGGATACAAAATCAGCACACACAGATCAGTAGCACTTTCATTTACAATAGCAGCCAAAAAGGTAAAATACCTAGGAATATATTGAACCAATGACGTGAAAGATCTCTACTAGGAGAACTACAAAATTCTGATAAAGAAACTATAGAGGACACAAACAAATGAAGAAACATCTC